ATCAATTAGGAGAGCGGTGTAGACGGAGAGGGGCCACTTGCTAACCTGACAAGCTCGGGGAGGCCTGCGTGGTGGCCTTGCAAACTCAGAGACCTAAAGCCACCACAGAGGATGGTCTGAAATGTAAACTTGTGAACTAAAAGTGGTTTATGACAGGTAGTCCAGTCCGAGGTGGCATCTTCCCTGACAAAGGTCAGTTTTCACCTTAATGGAGCTTATTAGGTAACATGTGGGGTAACTTCCTGTTTTCCAGACCCCTCAGGACACAACCCATGCACCAGGGCAGAAACCACACATCCCCTCATCGTTATTATTATCACGTTAACTGTTGACTGTTAACTGTCCTGCGCCCACATGGGTAAGAGAAGAAGGTGTCTAGCACATTGCTTCCCATCCACTCCCAGAGGTCTCCTCGCTCTGCTTTCTCCCGCCGCCCTCATCCATCGCCAGTGGGTTTCATGGAACCCACTCACCCCTGCCTGCCCTTCTGATTGCCGCGTATAAATTAAGGTGCAAACTGCCCTTCTCCGGAGCTATCTCAACCCGTTGACTTTTTGCTTCCCTGCATTTGTCGACAGTTTGGCTTAAATAAACTCACAAAATTCTTCACAGGTTTGGACGTTTCATACATTGACAGCAGAAGGTGAACCGAGCTTCTTTCGGTTCCATACTGGAGGCCAGCAACTGCAAACATTTTCCTAACTCTTGAAAGGTCTGACGGGGAGATCAGTCCACCGCGCGAGGCCAGGGTGGAGCCAAGTGCTTTACTGCTCGCGCCTGGGTGCAGGCGGGCTGAGTCGCAAACTTCGAGCTCAGCATCGGAAGCTCTTTGATCTCTGGGTTTTATAGTTACAAACTACAGAAACTAAAAAAATAAAATAAAAAATAAAAAAAAAAACTACATTAAAAAACCCCCACATTCTCTTGGCACCGCGTAATTGGTGTCAGGGCTGATACAAGTCGCCTCCGAGGTAAGGCGTCTGCTCTAGCAGAGGTCTGGGCCATCATTAATCTCCTTCCTTTTTATGGTCCCTCCAAGTTTTCATGACCATCAATAACCCCTTATCTTTATGGTTCCTCTGGGTGTCAGTCCCAGGTTTTTTAGAAAACTGCTCGGGCGTTTACGTGCAGGAATAACTGGTCAGAATGGAGTTTAATTTTGTTAAAACATTATTAACCCTTTCGAGTCTTAGCTTCTCACTGTCCTTACCCTGGTCGCTAAGACACATCTTCAGTGCGGAAGCCCATTCATCTGTTTCTGCTTCCCTCCCGTCCCAAAATGTGTCTAGCCGACATTGGGCTCCCTCGGGGCTTTTTCCCAAGAGCTAATGTCAGAGGCTCGGAAGGGAAGCAGATCAGTATTTTAATAAGAACCCTCTGGAATGCTTGCCTGTCAAGGTGGAGAGTCCGCCGCAAAGGCAGGCTGTTGGAGACACCACTGAACGTCCTGACTTCTAACTGCGTCAGGTTTGAGGGGCCCGGAGTGGTTTGCTTACCGTGCCTTGCACGCGAGAAAAGCTTTGACTTGAGATATTGATTGATGTTCTTTCCTGTTTCTAGTACATATGACAACATCTTCTCCATGTGCAACCACAGTAAAGGAGTGGTTTTGATGTTAGAGTAATTTGTCACAAATATATGAGAGAAGGCTGAGTTGAAGCCGAGATTTCATTATTTCTCATAATTTCCCCTACAAAGCTGGCAGATAAAAACAGTGCCTATTTTAGAAAAGCATCTTCTTCCTCAGATTCTCTCTAAAAGTGGATTCTGGCCAGAATGCACATCACATTCCTTTCTGGGGAAGGACATACTGTGGGCCACTTAGGAATCAATCAACAGCCCCCACCTCACCCCCATTCAGCTACACAATTTTTCTAAATCTTTAATTTGTGTTCCTTCCCCATCCCCTCAGAAGGCATATTCACACGCTGATGAAAACGTCAGCACCTGCCCAGGGGGATTAGGTGAGGGCCGCAGGCCACCAGCTGGCATAGGTGAGCCACCTGGCAGCAAAGGTCCCGTTTAAACCTCAACAAAAGCACAAAGGACAAGATTTTTCTTTGCAGATCTTTGGTTTTTCCTTCTGCTTTGGTGCTAGTTTTTCCCTCTGTCTAGTGGATTGTCTTGACAACCCACCCCCACGAAGTAATAAGATGGGGTGACTAAAGACCACCATGACATCAGAGCCCTGGTTCAAGCCCTGACCAGCTAATTACTTGTCATGGGTGTTGCCTAAATTCTCTGAATATCAATTTCCTCATTAGAACAAAAAGATCTGTTCTCCCAACCTCAAGAAAAACAAACAAAAAAACAAAAGAAAACTAAAACCCCTCAAGATACGTTACATAAATCTATGTAAATAAAAATATGTGAAAGTGCCCTAGTTGGTTTGGCTCAGCGGCTAGAGCATTGGCCTGCGGTCCAGAGAGACCGGGGTTCGGTTCCCGCTAAGGGCATGTGCCTCGATTGCAGTTTGTCCCCGGCCCTGGTTGGTCCTGCGGGTGGTAGCCACTCAATGCGTCCCTTTCACGTCGATGTTTCTCTCTCTCTCTCTCTCTCTCTCTCTCTCTCTCTCTCCCACTCTATCTGAACAAAATATCAAAAAATGTGCTCGGGTGAGGATAAAAAACAAACAAACAAACAAACAAAAATATGTGAAAGTTCTTTGTGAACCCTTAAACCTGACTCAGCTGTGTAAGAAACCTGACTCAGCTGTGTAAGAGGGAGACAGCGGGGAGGGAGTTAGAGAAGGGGACAGGGTACCGCCCAGTTCCCCGGGGCCGAGCTCCTAGTCCTGCCGTGTGCTTGGCTTCCTGTGCTTCTGACCATCTGGACACCTCCTCGAGCTGCCCTGCAGGCCCAGCAGGCCCTGGCTCTCTTCCAACTATGTCTCTCTCTACCTAAAACTGCTGTCCATCTCCTCACTTTTAGCCAATGATCGCTTCCTGAGGGTACCCATTTATGACTCCCTGATGAGGTTAAATTTCTCCTATTGCATGATCTTATAGAACCATGTACCTTTCCAAATTCGTGAAGTTTGTCATGGTTACAATTGCTATTTATTTAAGCGATTTCAAATTAATATGTGTCTCCACTATTTGCCTATCCGAGGGGCAGGGATAAATTTTGTCTTGACATTTGTTCCTGGTATCTGGCACAATGCCTGGCATATATTAGGTGCTCAATAAATATTTGCCAAATGTGTGAATAAATGATCCGATGGATGAATAATGAACTGGGTCCTTCTTGTAGATCCTGTGGGATCCAAGGACAAGTTGGATATTTGAGCCTCACTCCTGATTGAAACTTGGCCCAAAGAGCTCTGAAAATTTATTGAGAAGGGGTAGATGATAAAATGAGCATTGGAACAGAAAAGACCAGAATACAACTTTGATGCAAACTGCCCTTTTATACTCAGAAATCTATTTACCTAAGAATCATTGGATTTGTGTGTGGCAAGTGGACATACACAAAAGAACACACTTGAAAGGGCAAGGAGATTTCTGGAAAAACTATGACTCCTAGAGAACCCTACCCTGGGTGACAAGATGAAGTTGCATCTGGGCAGACTTGTTTTCTCAGAAAAAAAGGTTGATTTTCTAAGGAGGGAATTGGCCTAGGCTATGCTGGGAAATGTGTTCATTCTTGTGATGCTGTGTGTGTATATTCCTGTTTGAGCAGCAGCTATTTCAAGATGTCAGGGCTATGTCAGAGCTGCTTTGTTTTTAAAGATTTTTAAAATTGATTTTGAGAGAGAGAGAAATATCGATGTGAGAGTGCAACATTAGTTGCCTGCCTCCTGCACGCCCCACACCAGGATGGAGCCAGCAACCTCCAGGTGCCCGGGAGGATGCCCAACCACCTGAGCCGCAGGCCAGGGCTGTCGGAGCTATTCTATAGCGAAGTGAGCCGGCTGAGTACAAGCAGCGGGAGATCAGGGCTGGGCAGGCAAGGGGAGGCGGGAGGGAGGGGTCTCAGTGCAGCAAGCATCCAGCAGGCGTCCAAACTGGGAGAAGTCACTTATTTGGGGACATTGGGAGCCATCACCCTCAGTTTTTCTCCCCCTTTACTTGTGGAATCGTGGACAGGTTGGTGCTGGCTCTTTTTCATCCAGTTGCGGGGGTAGTAGCAGTGAGGGGAACAGGGTGGAGAGCGCAGGGGGTTTCTGCTGACAGCTTCATGAGCAAGCACGATGCTTCACCTTGAGAAAACGGGGGTCCGATGGTACGGGTGGGACACGCAAAGGAAATTAGTAGCCACACCCTGGTTAGGTCTGCTGATAGGTGGGTTAAAAGGTAAGGGATTTATAACATGATTGTGTATATGGTAAAATACATTTCTTGGGCACAGCCACGCTGGGGTAACCAATTTGTCCTGGCGTGCCTGGGACTCTCAGTGTTCACACTAGAAGTGCCCAGTTCAGGGTAAACCAGGCTGGCTGATCACCCTACCACACTCACTCACTCTTTTTCTTACCTTCATGCCGAGGACACAGAAGCACACCACTCACAGTCTCATAACAAAGCAGAAACAAGAATATGTCTTTGGGATGTTAAGAATCTACAGAACAGCAAAGACACATTGTGAAACTCCCTATTAAACTGTTTACCTGATGCAGAAACTAGACACAAGGAGCGTTATTATCCTAAGGTGCTATTCTAGTCCAGTAATTCATTTTCATTTGTCAAGGCATATTCTTCAGCGTTTCTAGCTACATGTACAGTGGTTATTCACACTAGACTCTTCTATGATGGATGCAATTTTATAATATATTTTTCTTAGTAATAAAGCATCAAACATGTTTGTTAGAAATGGTGCCTTGATTTTTTATTCTGAAATTAGAATCACCATATCACAAAGATAGTCAAACCCTTAACAAATAGGACAGTGATCCCGCCCCACCAAATGAGGCAAACAAATGAAGAGTGATGAAGGGTAAGGAAGAGAAAAGATTCTACTGATATTCCTTTATTGCAGAGATCCCTTGGCAGAAGCTAGTCCTAAATGAACAGGTCCCTAGATCTTGGTATCAGATAGAAGGGGCCGTCAAACTCCCCTGCTGGAGCACAGTATTGGGGGCTGTAGGACCAGCCACCTGGAGAGAGGGCACATCTTTTCCCAGGAAGGCCAAGCAGACGAGTAGTAACCCACCAAGGGCCAGGAAAATACCAGCAGCCCGGCCCAGGTAGAGGGCATCTTCAAAATCCTTCTGAGGTACAATCTCAGGGATGCTGTCATCAGAGAAGTCTTGGATTGTGGCATGGGCCACCCGAGAGACTGGAAAGAGAGTGATGGCTGAAACCTTTGCCTCCACAGTCCTTCCTAGGATGCAAAGCCGCCTCTTAAATCCCCACCTGATCCTGGGAAACTGGCAGCATTCGGACCCAAAGCCGGAGAGCAGAAGCCCCAATAATCCCAGCCCACGAGAGGCCACCATGAGGATGGGACATACCTGGAACTCCCGGGGCAGAGATAAGAACTCAAAGGCCTGGCCCACAGTGGCAACTTCCTCCTGGTTCACGCAGACCTCCCAAAGGCCCCGGGGCCAGGGCTCTGCTGCGTTCAGATCCAGACTGGGAGGCTTTCACTGGGCAGGGCGAGGATGGTGGTCACACAGGAGCAGACCCAGCCAAGGAGAGAGAGCAGTCCCCCGAGCTGGGCGTTACACAGAAACTGTGGGCCGCGGTTGCTCCCACGGCAGAGGCGAAAGAACAGGAGACCAGGTGTCTGAGTGACCGGTTAGCACAGTGGTTCTCAACTCTCCTAATGCCACGGCCCTTTGATACAGTTCCTCATGTTGTGGTGACCCTCAACCATAACATTATTTTTGTTGCTACTTCATAACTGTAATTTTGCTACTGTTATGTCTTAGGCGATCCCTGTGAAAGGGTCGTCGCGCCCCCCAGGTTGAGAACCGCTGGTGGAGGGCACTGTGGGAGGGCCGAGTGGAAGGTCTTCCAGGTTTGGAGAGGGTGTCTGTTCTCCACGCAGTGCTGAGGCAGGTGCGGGGGCTCGGCAGTGTCTGGCTTTAGGGGAGCCTCCAAATCAGATGTGGGTTTGGATTTCTGGGGGAGGATCCCCGCGGAGGCAAAAAAGCCAGACATATTTGATGAGAAAATTCATAAACTTAAGGTTAAAATTACTCCCCAGTTCTGCGGTCAAAGTGAGGTTCTGGGAATGTACAGTGATGCACTCTCTGGGGAGGGCGACCTGACTTCGTGGTTCATGCTTTCAGATTCGTGCGTGCTTCGACCCAGCACACGCCTCCGGGCACTCAGCCTAATTTGCTGTGAATATATACAAATATTTATTAAAATGTCCATTGAAATATTGTTAATAACTGTACACGTTGTTTAATTCTAGGCAGCAATTTTAAAGCGATATAGGAGAAATTTTAATGACATAAAAATTTTTTTATATGTGGTTAACTGAGAAAAGCAGGTGACCAAACAGTATTAGACTACAATTTCACTTTCACAAAAAAAGCCATTATATATCCAGATGTGTATATTTATGTGTATTTCTGTTTATGTTTCTATATATCCCATACCACAAAATGTTAACCATGGTTATTTTAGTTAAAGAATTATGGATAGTTTTTATTTCCTTATTTGTGCTTGTCTACGTATTTTATAAGTTTATCATTTAGTATTTTTATAAGCAGAAAAAAATGAAAAATCCCCCCATCCAAGGCACCCACGGAGACCCAGGATGTATCAGCAGGGAGGTGCGCCCTGCCGGGTCTCCTGGGCGGCTAGGCCAGCGCCTACAAACACGCAAACCAGCTCGGTTCCTGCTCCTCACCGCTGCCAGGAGGCGGGTCCTGACGGGAAAAGAAATAATTTACATTTACAGGGTGTGGCTAAATGCCGGACTTTGGTTAGATATTTTATCCTTTTTTAACTTTCACACCACCATTGTAAGATACGTGTTAGATAAAACTTGCTGAGGTTCCCCAACAGGTAAGCAACAGACCTAACTCCTGAGCCAGGTGGCTGAGACGGTGACATTTCATGGTTTGGGCTCCAGTTTACAACAGTGATTCCTCCTGCACTGCGCTTGCGTGCTGGTGACACGACCTGCGGACTTGCGTTAATCTGTGTGGCAAAACACAGAAGAAAATGGGGATTCTTTTATTGGAGACATAAACGTTGACCAGTGTATTCCCTATTAGTTTTAGCCTACTGGTTACCTTGTGCATAGGAGAAGGTGGTAGCCGTGCTGTGACACAGCCAACAAGGGGAAGGCAGTATCACATTTATTTGCATGATGTCTCAACACCTAGGCAGTCTGATTAGATTATGTGGTTTGGGGGTGGAGGGAGGCCAGTAAAACATCTGGAATGCTCTTTTTTCTTTTATGTTTTATTATAGGGAAATTTCAAACATATACAAAAGTACAGCAAATGGAATAAAGAAATCTGGGGTCCTATTACCTACTTCAAAAATTATCCACTCATGCCCTGGCAGGTTTGGCTCAGCGGTTAGAGCGTCCACCTGCGGTCCGGAGAGACCCGGGTTCGGTTCCCGCTAAGGGCATGTACCACGGTTGCAGTTTGTCCCCAGCCCTGGTTGGTCGTGCGGGTGGCAGCCACTCAATGTGTCCCTTTCACATCGATGTTTCCCTCTCTCTCTCCCTCCCACTCTATTTGTACAAAAAATGGAAAAAAGTCCTCTGGTGAGGATAAAAAAAAAAAAAAAATTATCCACTCATGTTGATCTTGTTTCGTCCGTGCCTGCGCCCACCCCGGCCTTCCCTGCATCCTATTTTGAAGCAAATGGATGCTCTTTCAAATTGTAAGCTTCTTCTGCTGCTCTTTTAACAGCCACATGTTCTCATCAACACGATGGCAAAATATAGATCCTTGGGAACACTGTCTGCTTGTACTGCACATCCATCCAGATTTGTGTTTGATACTTCCTTCCTGACAACAGGCATGCCGCACGTGTGTGAGCCATGACTAATCAGGAGGAATCCTTTCAGACCTTGCTCCTTATTTCCTTGCCTTTTCTTCAGAACCCTTTCTGGATGTTTTGTGAAAATCTGTGAGTTGGGAGGCATATAAACCATGGTAAGTATGAACTATGGAGGTCAGGTTAGTGAGGGAAAACGGAACCTATCCATTTATTACTTTCTTTTTATTTACTCACCTATTCATTCCTACCTGCATGATTGACTGTCTGTGTGTACAATCCCACTCTATCTGGATGCCCTTTCTTCTCCTTCCTTAGCCTAGTTCTGGCTCTTTCCCCCCTTTACCTGGAACCCTGAGGAACAGTCTTAGTTTATCCAGTGGCCTTTCTGCCCAGAGAGAGGAGAAGCTTCTGTAGTTGTGTTTGTGTACACATGGATCTGTTTCCTAGAGGAAGAACCTAGAACCTCAACCTCAAAGTGACACCTCCTTCCAGGCGCAGTTCAGATTCCTTCCTACCGTGAAACTTCCCTGATTTCATCGGAGACTGGGTGCTGCTCCTCCTCTGCCCTGTGTACCTTTGCCAGAGGGGGATTAACTTCAGGACCGTTAGTTGCACAGGCCCTTTCCAAGGCCTGCACCTAATTTTGTATTTCTTTTATATTCTTTTCCTTAAAGAGTCCTCCCTCTCCCAGCAACTGTATAAGATTTAGGTCCCACAAAATATGGATCCATCTCTCACCTACTTCCAAAATAGTAACGATCATGTTTTCCTGGAATTATTTATTTACATATTTTGGATTCCCAGCCTAGCAGTGTCTGCCATATAGTAGTTGCTCAAAAATTATATAAGTTTTCAGGAACTTTGTCTGCACGTCCTTCTTCCTCACTGGGCATTTATTATTAGCAGTGTTTAGAATTCAAAATGAGGCTGACATGTCTACCAAACAGAAGTTGATTTGGTTTTCTATGAAGAGGAACCTCCTAGGGTGTCATGGTTTGTACTGCCTGTCTGAACACATTTCATTTCCTCTGCTCATGTCATGAGAAGCTGCCCTTGCCTCACTAGGATAAGAAGATCATCCCATAGACACTTAAAATTGACAAGGACCTTAGGCTCAGCATCTACTTGAGGTCAATCCGCAAAGACAACTTAAAATAAATTAAAGAGCCCTGGCCGGTTTTGCTGAGCGGTTAGAGTAGTGACCTGAGAACCAATGGGTTGCGAGTTTGGCTCCGATCAAGGGCATGAACTTCAGTTGCGGTTTGTCCCAGGCTCTGCCTGATTGGGGTCATGCTGAAGGCAACCAGACAATGTGTCCCTCTAACGTCGATGTTTCTGTCTCTCTCTCTCTTCCTCTCTCTCCCTCCCACTCTATCTGAACAAAAATGGGAAAATATCCTCGGATGAGGATTAAAAAAAAAAAAAATTAAAGATAACATTTTAATTAAAGCAGTATATTTTTCTTTTTTGCAGAAAAATAGAAAAACAGGGACAGAGAATAAATATTGTAAGTCCACTACTCAGTAAGAATAATTTGCTATACATCTTTTACCTCTGTATGTGTCTATATCTATTGTGAACATCTTTCAGTATATAACATATTTAAATAATGAAACAATTTTTAAAAGCTTTTTATAAAATTGACTTGCATTCTCTGATAAAAAGTGCTGAGTATCTTGTCTTAGTCCACACAGTGCTAATGTTATTTATACCTAGGTAATATAAATACTATAAACAGGTAATATGTTATGTAGATGTAATATATGTATATGTACAAAGATGTAGTATACATGTATATGTGTATATAGATGCAGTATAAACCATACAATAGAAACCTATGTAATTATAGGCAGACTTTTTTTTTTTATAACGAGGTGGCGCCACTTCTTTGCACAACTCTAGAGGGCACCATTCATTTAGGCTCTAAAGGTCAATGCAGCCCATGACCGCGAATATTTAAGAAAAAAGTTCAAGGTGGGCTCGTCGGGTCTTCTGGCTAGATACATTTCATAGGTAAGCATTTTGCAATTGAGAAAGGTTCTCTTAGGACTGATGAGTAAAAACATTTCATTTCTTCTAGTGAAAGATGGTCATGAAATTCAAACTTTGAAAACAGCTACGAAAGAAACTGCGTCTACCAAGTTTGCCAACTACGAGACGCCGTGGAGGTTCCAGGCGGGGAGTCGCGGTGCCTGCTGGGAGTTGTAGTGCAGCCGTCGCCTTCCGAGCGGCGGTCTGGGCCGCGCGAGACTTCGTTTCCCGGCCGGCCGCGCGCCGAGGCTGCTGGCGGGACTGGGGCTGCCGCGCTGGAGCCCGGAGAGGGACTCGGCGTTGTTCTTGTCGCGGCGATGGCTTCGTTCGTGACGGAAGTCCTGGCACACTCGGGCAGTCTGGAGAAGGAGGATCTGGGCACTCGGATCAGCCACCTGACCCGGCGGGTGGAGGAGATCAAGGTGCAGGCGGCCGCCGGTGGCTGGCTGAAAAGGGACGCGGGATGCTGGGGTGACGCGTGGAGAGGAGGGGGGCGAAGGGCAGACAGCGCGGGGACGAGCGGAGTCAGGAGTGGGCTGGCTGGGGAGCATAGGACGGAAAGGCTGGAAGCCTGGTTGGGGAGGAGCGGGGAGGGAGCCCGACGGCCCGGGGCCGAGGCGGCCTGGGCGGGGGAGAGGGAGAGGGAGAGGCGGGGCGGCGGGGTGCTGGTGCGGGCCAGGCTGGGGCGACGCGGGCGGGAGCCGCGGAGCGGGGCTTGGAAGTCGCGGGGTGTCCAGGGCTCCTCCCCGAGAGCGCTGTCCCGCCACCCTCTCGTCCACTTTGTCGGTGAAGGTACAGCCGGGAGGGCGGCTCCACTGCCCGGCCTGAAACTTGTCCTGTTGCAGCCGTCGTGGCGGTGAAGCTCTTCTCCGAGCCGGCCCCGAGGCTGTGCGAGGGTCACCGCGCCCGAGCGGCGCCGCCGGGTCCCCGCCGGCCGCAGTGGGTGCGGAGCCGCGCGCTGCCCCCCCGGCCGCGCTGCCCCCACGGCCCCCCCGGCCGCGCTGCCCCCACGGCCCCCCGGCCGCGCTGCCCCCACGGCCCCCCGGCCGCGCTGCCCCCACGGCCCCCCGGCCGCGCTGCCCCCACGGCCGCGCTGCCCCCACGGCCCCCCGGCCGCGCTGCCCCCACGGCCCCCCCGGCCGCGCTGCCCCCACGGCCCCCCCGGCCGCGCTGCCCCCACGGCCCCCCCGGCCGCGCTGCCCCCCGGCCGCGCTGCCCCCACGGCCCCCCGGCCGCGCTGCCCCCCCGGCCGCGCTGCCCCCACGGCCCCCCGGCCGCGCTGCCCCCACGGCCCCCCCGGCCGCGCTGCCCCCACGGCCCCCCCGGCCGCGCTGCCCCCACGGCCCCCCCGGCCGCGCTGCCCCCCCGGCCGCGCTGCCCCCACGGCCCCCCCGGCCGCGCTGCCCCCACGGCCCCCCGGCCGCGCTGCCCCCACGGTCCCCCCGGCCGCGCAGCACCCACGGCCGCGCAGCTCCCCCGGCCGCGCAGCTCCCCCGGCCGCGCTGCGGGCTGCCGTCCCGGCCTGGCCTGCCCGCCGCACCTCTGCTGCTTTGCTGCTTTCGTTCGGGGAGGAGTGCGGCCTACATCTGGGTTTCGGGGAGCACGGGGGGGGGGGGGGAGAGGGCGTCATGCCGGAAAGGCCCCAAGTACTTCTAGGTTACAAAAACGGTTTCCCAAACGTTCAGTGTTCATGTCGCTGGCATCTCTTCTTCATTGCGGGTTTCGAATTTTCCACCACTTTTATGTGATGGGAGGAGGACAGATCATTAAGACACCTGAGCGTGGCTCCTTCCCGTGTGCTCCGACGCATCCTTCCTTTCCCGGCTTTCTTTCCCCACCTTGAGTCTTCGGCCAACTGAGAATAACCTTCCATGCTCCAGGCGGGTTCAGCCCCCCAAAACCACCCAGATCTTAGATTTTGCTTATGTTGCCATTTCTTCATCTTCTCCCTGTAGTGTTTTTAGCCGTTTCTCAAGTTCCATCTCAAATGCGGTTTTCTGCATGGAGAGGATCCCCATTTCCCCTTGGGCAGAGGTGACCCCTTTCTCAGTTGTGCTCCTGGAGGGTGTGAACTGTCGCTGTATTGCATTTCTGTATTCTGGTTACTTAGGTGTACTGTCCTTTTAACCTAAAAGGAACTTATTTGTGGTCAAGCATAATTTATTCCTGTCTCTTCCAAAGCATCAACTAATTTAGTGCAAAGTAGTCAATAATTTGTTTATTAAATTATTTCGAATGAAAAGAAATGATGAAACCTATCAACTTAGGGTTATAAAATGAGGCCTTAAATTTTATAAGCAAGAAGCCAGAAAATCATAAATTGATTGAGGTATATAGATTATGGATTTAATTTACCCACTTGCTTTCTTTTCTATTAGATATGTGCTTAATTTTGTTAATCATCAGAGGATATTTTTTCTATTGATTTTTTTATTTATTTATTTTTATTTTTTAGAGAGAGTGGAAGGGAAGGAGGGAGGAGAGGAGAAACAATTGATTGCCTCCTGCATGTGCCCTGACCAGGGCCAGAGCTCAGGCCTATAACCCAGGTACATGCCCTTGACCAGGAATCGAACCTGCAAATCTGAGACCCTTCCATGCACAAATCGACTCTTTAACCACTGAGCCATGCCAGAGTGGAAGACATGTTTTCTTATCCTCACCCGAGGACAGTTTTGCATGTATCTTCAGATAGAGCCGGGAGGAAGAGAGAAACATCGATGTGAGAGAGACACATCGTCTGGCTGCTACCCACACGACCCCAAAACCAGAGCCAGGGACAAACTGCAACTGAGGAACCAAACCCGAGACTCTTTGGTCTGTGGGCTGACGCTCTAACCGCTGAGCCAAACAGGCCCGGGCAAGACATGTTTTTAAAAGAGTTCCCTACTCATTTTGTTGTAATGTTTCTGCCTTATAGGGTGAGGTGTGCAGTATGATCAGCAAGAAGTACAGTGAATTCTTGCCTAGCATGCAAAGTGCACAGGATCTGGTTACCCAAGTGGATAAGCTGTCTGATGATATCGACCTGCTGAAATCCAGGATAGAGAGTGAGGTAAGAAGAGTTTGTTATACTGAGTAGGTTTGTAGGGAGGCAGTTCAGCTTCCTGATTTCTACGACAATTCAGTTCTGTATGACTTTTCAAGACCGCACTTTCCTTATTGGGAAATGGAAGATGAATGAGATGATTTCAGGGTGACTTTCAACTTTAAAATAGAAATC